CCAGCAATTATAGTACACTGGCTATTTGTTTTTATTCTTCGTTGCTAATTATTAAAGTTCCAGCCACATTTCTAACATCTGTAATGTATAAATAGTACGGATCCAAATGAAAAGTAGGAAAAAAGAGGGGGAAAACTAATATTTCATTTTCCTCAAATGGCTTTTGGAATGACCCTCATATATATATATATATATATATATATATATATTCTTTAAAATATTTCCTTAAAATCTCATTTAAATCTCTTTCCTCTCACGTTTACTTCCTTTCATTACTAGGATATATCCATATTATTTTCTTGGCAATAATATTGAAAGGCTAGTGCCCTTCCAGATTTTTAAAAAAATCAACTTTGCTATCTACAAACTGGGATTACTTGGTGTTGACCAAGATTCAAGTACTAATCCTGTCCAATTAACCTTGTCTGGAGCAGCCATCTGTGATTTTTTTCACTTAATATTTTTAGCTTAATATGGATTGCCAGTTACATGGCAAGTATAAGGGTTAGCATATGCAAGTTGTAGAGATAACATTAGAAACTTGATTGATATGCTTTATTGACTTCCGGTTGATGTTGCAGCAATATCAGACACAGGGAACGGATCTCTGCGTTCCCTGTGCTGAGTTCTTCCTATTTATGGGCTCCGAGAGGAGCCAAAACCAGCTTGCAGGGGTGATGAAGCAAAGGGGGGCGCCTTGTGAGGTCAAGGAGAGTCGCAGCTCTCCTGTCTGACACAGGGTTCTTTTTTCCAAGTTAGATTAGAAGTTAGGTAGAATGGAAAGAAAATGTTTATTAACAAAGGGTGACATGATTAAAAATTAGAATAGGAGATAGAAATAAGAGAAAAGGGGAATATTAGTGTATACATTTTTATATAATAAAATGAGAGCAATAATAAGAGAAAACATGGAATAATTGAATAATGACAGACTGCAACTTAATATTAATATGTATTACTGTTAGAAATATATAAGTAATATATAAGTAATAATTATGACTAATATTATTAATTTTATTTGTATTAGAATGTATGACACTCAGGTGCCACACTGTTCACATTGATATGTTTGTAAAAAACAAAAAACAAAGAAACTGTATTGATATACCTGACATATCTGAAACACAAGAATAAAGATATTATTAATCCAGATATAGATGCTATTGAAGATTCAATTATAATAAGAGATGTATGTTAGAATTTGTAAGGATCACCTAATATGTTTTAGTAAGTATATTCATAACTTAATTAATAGTAAATATGAAGAGCAGATATAAATAGATAAGCAGATACAAAGTTAATAGCCTAATCATGCAAGTCAATAAATAATCTAAAATTGGCCGGTCTAAAATTCCAGCAAACGTAATCCTGGTTGTCTGAACCAACCTGAAGTTGTATTCACAACACATTTGAAGCACCTAAGGTAAGAATCAGCAAATTTTATTATAACTTTGTAATGCCTTTAAGTTGGGTGTCATTCTTTCTGTTTCAGAAAGCTTTACACACCCCATTAGGGCCCCAGGCCAATTGCCAGATCCAAGTCTTTAGGCCCTTTTGGAAGATCAAAAGGGCAAGTGCAGATCTCACCTTGGAAGGTACAATGTTCCAGAGGATGAGAGCCATAGCAGAAAAAGTTCTTCTGGACCCTGCCAGCTGGAATTCCTAGATTGATGGGGTCTGCAACAAGCCCCTTCTGTCAGTATGGGTTGAGCAGGCCAATCTCACTGGGGTGAGATAGTTCTTCAAATACTTTGGACCCAAAATATAAAGGACTTCTAAGGTAATAACCAAAACCTGAATTGGATCCAGAAGCAAACTGGAAACCACTGGAGCTGGAGTGTAACATGGGATATCTTAGGTACTTCAAGAACCTTCCAGCAAGCTGCACTATAGCTTCCAAATACTCTTCGAGGGCAGCCCAATGTAGAGCAAGCAGGAGTTGTGAGTCTAGGAGAAACACCCCCCCCCCCAAGTTGTGCACTGGGTCTGTCTGAGGCAGTGCCCATCAAGAACTAAAGATGTCAAACCCCAAATTGTTTTTTCAAGAGGCAACTGAACTTTCTTGATTTTCTTTGAAGACGTTTCACTTCTCATCCAAGAAGATTCTTCAGCTCTGAACAATCATGACCGAGAATCATAGATGACTGAGAATCTCATAGACATAAAAATGTTTATGTTCTGGATCCTGAAGCTCCACACACTCAAAAGCCACTTAGTCTTGTCAGGCTTAAGCAAAGCCTGTTGTCCCCTATCCAGAGTCCACAATTTCTAGGCATTGCAAGAAGGCAGCAGCAGCAGCAGCAGCAGCATTTGGGACACCAGGGATGGAGATATAAAGCTGAGTATCATCAGCATACTGATAGTACCTCATACGAAGCGGCTTCACATAGATATTAAAAAGAAGTGGAGCAAGTACTGAGCCCTGCAGCATATCACAAAGGAACTCTGTGAGAACAGAATTTGCAGCTCAAGCAAAACTTGCTAGGAGGACAATACCCTGTGACAGAAGTGAAGGGAATTTGCCCCCAGTAACCTCAACAGAAACTTCTAGTTGACAGTGTCTCACCATCTCACCACTAAGATAATGAATGAGGCATTGTTTATCATTCATAGGCCAAGGAACAGTTAAGGATGAAATCAGTCAACTTCCTCAGTGAATTTGGGATGAAATGGAGGCTGTGTGAGACATCTGGCAGTAGATCGTGGAGAAGAGCCAGAAAGTATTTGAAAAATAGGTATAGTAAGTATGGAAACTCAATTTCAAAATTGCTAGATTCTATTATTTAAAAAAGAGAAATGTTGTTGCTAGCATAATAATAATAACCAAAAGATATACAGAGTGCTTTCACTGAACATTTTCTTCTATTAATACATCTAATAATCTTGAAAATTCAAAATAAGTAATTACTTAGTAAACTATAACTTATTAAATTAGTGAATGAACTTGTTTTTAGTCTCACAAATCCACAGTTGTTTTTTCTGCACTTTGTGCTGCCACTAAACAACCTGGAGTTTTCTCTCTATGTCTAAGCCTTGCATAATTGTCCTGTCATTACCTCAGTATCCTCTGTGCTCCTTACCTGACAAAGTGAAAACCCCTGCCCTCTGCTTAATTTGCTGTATCATTATTATTGGGAATCATAACACATGATAATGCACCAACTAATTATTTTCTTCCTGTAAATTCCTGTACAAAATTTTTTTTTAAAAAAAATAAATCTTCCTATTTGCCAGATATGCGTGAGTAATTTGAATGAAATAATAACTGCACAGGAATTTGGATAGTAAGACAGTAATTCTTCAT